ATACAACCGAAATTTATTTACCGTATTTAGTATTTTGTTCTTATATTGTTTGGTTATTTTGTGTGCGGGTAAATTTTTTGATAAAAAAAACATATACAACTTGACAGTTATCTAATTTTGCACTTTCAATTCATCTCTATCCGTCATCCATCAACTATCACCGTCAAAACTCAACTTCAATTCAAGTATAATATTTATATATTTTTACTGTGACATTAAATGTCGCTATCATTCAATAAAGTATATAAACAATTTAGAACGCTTAGCTTTAAAAGTTACTTATAACTTATAAGACAATCTCTGTAGAGTAGTAATAACAACAATATTACCTACAGTTATTATACAGGTTATGGAGTGTAGAGGTAAGGAGAACAATCTTTCATAGGAGAATAGTTGAGAAAGTATCCATCTGTAAGCAATAAATAACAGTTCAAAAACTCTCCACAACAGCGTTTAAGTAGCTACAGGAAACAGTTACATGACATGAATTTAGCAGTTGTCGACGGTGGAAGTGTGCTGCTAAACTGCTCAGTAGTTCTAAAATCTAAAATAGTTTTATTTAGTAAATATAACCTCGAAAAAGTCGTCTATCTTACTAATATTTTTCGGCGCATTCTTTAAAATTTACCCCGTAGATATAGTAGCGCCACCCTTATTTAACGGTTTTCTATAGACACTTTTTGATACACAGTCTGTACTCCTTACTTCTACACTCCATAATACAGGCCCTTTTATGCTTGTACAGCGCTACTAGCGCATAAAAATGTATATTTATGCCAATTTTTTACTTATAAGAACTGTATAAGCGCCTATGCAGACTTTGTACAGCCAAAAAATACAGCATCGAGTGTAAAAACGAACTTCAATACAGCTCGTATACCGCTTGAGCACTGCTTGGGAATTCACTCATGCGCAGTGGCGAAGCTAGAGCTCCAAGCTAGGGCAAGCCCAAGATATAAATTGATAAAAATATAGATTGTTGTTTTTAGCAGTTTTATAAAAATACACCAATCTTGATCTGTCTCCACGCTTCAGTTTCATATTCCGTGCTGTCAAGGACGTGTTTAACAAAGCACACAGAAGGCATACCACTGCTAGATAGATTGTGTTACATATCAGCAATTGCATAGCTTCGGTGGCTTTGAAGAAAACCGTTTGGGTTTGTTTAAGCGAAAGAAAAAAAATATTTACATCCAATACAATACATGAACAAAAGTAAAACACGAACAAACTACAAACAAACTATGTACAAAATTAAAAAAAAAACAAATTATTTACATGCTAATGGATAAGAGATAACATAAGATAAGTGGAACCGTCTCGCTTTCTTATGGAAAGATTTAATTACGTCCACGTAAAATGTTGGTGAACGTTTTAATTGTACCAATAACTGTTTTTAATTGCGATAATTGATAAGTCTGAAATACACTCTTAACCTTATGTATTATTTCAACAAATTTTAAAGATTTCCTCTCCGATTATCACTTTAACACACTTCAATTCATCACAAGGAACACTATTATCCTCCATTTTCATTAAAAATCTTTAAAAAAGCATAAATTTTGAACTCGTAATATTAAATCGCTTAAGATAAGCACACAGAATAAATAAATATTGAAACGTGAAATGAACTTGCAAACGTATTGCCTGCGCGCCTCCGCTTTTAACAAATTTATTCCCAAAATCCTGGCTTTAAATCTCTATACTAATTGCTATATATACAATCGTAGTTATATTTCATTATAGAATATTTTCCCATAGGTTAGAAAGAGAGCGATCGTTTTCTCGAAAGCCCCGTAAAAAGCCCACGCGAGCGAGGGAGACAACTATTAGCTCTACTCATTTTTTATGACAGCAGCAGTATCGCTAAGGAAATACGAGGTCATCGGTCGACATGTGTCGAACAGTGGAGTGCGCGGGAAATTTGAAATTGCTTGAAACATTTTACGAGTTATTTTATTAGTTGATATTGATTGATTCAGGTTTAATAAGGCAAGCCCGGCTTTTCGGCTTTAATGGAAGCTTCGCCACTGCCCATGCGTACTGTTATTTATTCTGTGCCCATGTGCAATGTACACTGTCGTAGGAGTCATCGTTACGCCAGTAACGATGCAGAATGATTTGAATTTACCCTTTTACAGCCCAAGGTCAGAAAAAAGCAAAAATGCTAACGGCACTAATATGATCAGAAACCAGACTAACAAATCTTGCCAAATTCGACGCCGGCGACTATATACCCGTCCCTGCCCTCGTTAAGGCGAGTGAGCGTGAACGACATTTTTCCATTAAAAAGGCAATTAAAAGAACATATTATTAAAGGTTTATGAAATTGTTTTTAAAATAAAACAATGAGTTACTTAATATGGCATTTTTGAACAACAATTTTATTATCTTTTCGTAACTTAAAAAACAAAACTTTATTGATTTCTGTTACTATGATTAAATAAAATAAAATATCATTAGTTACATATTTAAAGGGACATTAATTTATATATTTTATAATTACATAACACAAATACTTCGTTTCACTATTACAGCTACGACCTAACGACCTATGTATGACAAGGTTGCTATTATCATTATGCAGGTAACTATGCTTTTTTAAACACCTTCTCAAGAAGAGGAAAATTTCTAATATACTACTACAAATACCAGTACTATACAGTACTATCTGATTTTACTAGATAATATAATATTAACTGGCAATAATAGAGACTATAATGATTTACTTTTACAACGTTATAATATGTATAATTATTGTTAGCTATGTTAAAACCTTGAACGAATTAACCACTGGACCCGACATATAAGCGGTCTTACCGATACCAGTCTTGGTCGTTTATTTTTGCGTCAGTCTCAAGCACTTACTTGTCAACAAAACATCTCCCAAAATGACTAAATGTTCAGTTAAATGGTGTAAAAACTATAGCGGCGGAAGCAGCACTATTTCTTTTCACTTGTAAGTACATTATTTTATTGCATTTATTGTTATTTATCACAAAATTTAATCAAATGTAAAATAAAATTTTGTATTATCCAACTATGTTAAGTATAATCGATAATTCTATGTATTGTTGACAACTGACAGCCATCACAAAATGGCTGGATTATACCATTCAGGACGAATGACTAAAACTGTGGAGTGAGTCAATTTGATATCGACTATTGTTTGACTATGTCGAAAAATATATCGATATTTGACGATATGACCGAATGAATGATGATGTTATTTGTACAATACTATAACGCTTAAATACTTATATAACAGTATCCTATAATCTGATGTCATTAAGTTTATAATAATAATTTTTATAATTAAATAAAAATACTATAAATGCAAAAATTATAATTAGTATCTGTACTTAAAATATTTAAACACATAAATTACACGAATTTTCCGATTTCCTAGTGACCCTTATGGGAAAAGTGGGTAGAAGCAGTTCGTAGAGGTGAAACCTGGATTCCGACAAAACACAGCGCCATATGCAGTGTACATTTCGACACTCTGTTTTAATACTAATGCAAAGAAACATAAAATGACACCAATGAAGGCAATCTCGTTGCCCATAAAGACAAGGGAAAACGGATACTTCCCTCAAGTCAAGCTCAAGCTATTTGTTAGCACTGCGAACTCGAACTTAGGAAGGGTGTTTAGAATAAAAGACTAAAATAAGATTACACAACAGACTTTCTTCTGCCGAAAGTAACAGAAACATTCCTGCAACTTCCGTTGTACGAAGACATTCATTTCCATAAATTTGAAAATGACGATGTGAATCACGTCGAAGAATTAACGAAAGCCGTAGCTGAAAAGTACTTAAATATTAGAATTGCTTATATAAGAAAACAAGCGAACAAAACAAATTCTAAAAAACACATTTTAAGAAAGATGATACATAATAAAAGTTAGTAAACCTATTTAAATAATTTAAACGTAACAAAAAATTTGACGTTTATCATAACTATAATAGAATAAAAAGTCCATAACAATGTCCTGCTTCTTTATAATTTGCCAATCAGTTGATTTATATTTTCATTAAATTTTAATTGCCGGAAGCTTACCTCACTTTCATTATTTCTTTATTTCCTTTGTCTTACAGCTTATTTACGATACGCCTTTTCTTTCTCATTCGTTCATCGATATATTTTATCGACTACGATCAAGCACTAGAAATAGAGTGGACTTCTACGAATTTTGTATCTGAGTTTATATTAACGTAATAAAATCTTCGTGCGCGTTATTCTCCACTTGGTTGAACGAGTTTTCATACATTTGTGTTTTATGTCGGGTCCAGTGGTTAATTCGTTAAAGGTTAAAACCTAACCGTGAGGTAGTAGTGTAAGAACAATACCCCATATCGTCCCGTGGGTGTCGTAAGAGGCGACAGAGGGAAAGTAGGCCAGGAGATGCAGCATCTTCCTGTCAACTCGAAATAATAACAGACTGCGGTTGCCAACTGATTGGCAACTATGGCAAAATCCCCTCATGAGGCAATCTATGAGGGAATGTTGAAACCACCAGATAACGAATTTGTACTCTATTTCTTACATAGGTTATATTTCATACGTATTGCGTTCGAACACTACCTATGCTACTAAACTACTAATTGAATAACATTTAAGATGTATTGAGTTGCTAGGTAATTTGATTTATATTATTGCTTGATAATTGATTCATACTTCACGATCCTCTACCAGGTTAGCTCCAGAAGCTGAACTTTATACTCTCACGAGTCACCAGTATTGTGATATGTTTACGATCGCATACATTCCTTTTTCTGTGTTTACATTTAATCTATTTCATGGAACATTAGTTTTATTGTTTATTTCTTTTATATTTTGTTGTCTAACAGCCTTGTTTCATCATGAGATCTGCAAGTTTGAAGATTCGAAGCCAACTGAATGCCTCCGTGCGCTGTGGTGATGATGCAGATGTGGACGCTGTAGGAGACTGTGCTGGTGATGGTGGCCGTTCTGTTGTTGAATGCGTTGGAGACTTATTATTGCTCTTTTGATTGTCTGGTGACTTTGTAATAGAGGGAGAAGTCATTCTGTGGATAAACAAAGTAGAAAATTTAAATTTACTGCATATTTTACCAATACACAAGTATTACAAGTATGTGATTATGTCATGATGATTTATTTGAAGTCATAGTAATTTATTTGAATAAACAATCGTAAAGCCTATTTTTATACATTTATTTTTAGCAACTAGTTTTTTGTTTAATGTTAATTTACAAATGAAAAATGCACACAGAAAATAAGATGTCATTTTCCGTTTCTGGTTACGTATAAGATAGCTACACAGATATTATATATATATAATAGTATATGTTTAATAGCGACTGCTAATCATGAGGTCCTGAGTTTAAATCATGGGTTTATTTTTATTATTGAGTTTATTATATTATTATTGAGTTTTTCTGTCAAGAAATTCTCAGTAGCTGCCCGGAGTCAGGAAGTTGGCGGTGTATCACCCCCGTGCCTCGGAAAACACGTAAAGCCGTTGGTCCTGCGCCTGATCTCTCTCCAGTCGTGTCGGTTTACCGTCCCATCGGATTATGAGAGTGAGGGAATAGAGAGTACACCTGTGCTTGCGCATACACTTGGGCACTATAATCCTGTCCTGCGGCGATGACTAGCTTCCGTTGAGGCAGGCCGCCGTGGCCGAAATTCGGTCTGGAGGACATTATATACATACACACACACACAATATATATATATATATATATATATATATATATATATATATATATATATATATATGGTAAGTGGATGCCGTGGCCCATAGACATTATGTACATTTATCTTCGATTAAGAATCAAAATGCAGATTCGGTGTCACCCTGAGGACTACGATGTAATGACTCGTCTCTAGTAAAAAGGTTCTCAGGTTCTCTACACTCACCATACAAAAGACAGCATCATTAAGCTACTATTTCACGCCGGTATTCTGTGAGAGCGTGGTTCTTCCCCGGTCGAGCCGACCCATTCGTGCTACAACCATAACATAGCTGCAGCGTATAAAATGACACCACCCTTACAACATTTATTATTACGAACAAACACTTCAGTTTTATATTTACATTGTGTAGATGTTACTGGTTACTGTATCTATCTATAAGGGCACTGAAGTAGTACTGATTTGCCGTATATGTCAATTCCAGTAGCTTCCGGATACATGACATTCCGGATACATGATACAGCAGCCTTCTAAACACTCTTAAACAGAGCTAGCTGATGGCCCAATTGTGCGACTTAGGATTTTGAAAGATAGAGTTAGCTGTATTTGTATTTTTATCAATAAAGAGCTGTGCCCCGTTTAAGTAGTAATGCTTGTATATAGTTATCGAAAAAGTGCTACCTACCGCAAACGGAACAATCATGAAATTAAGAAATATATATTTTTATATATTAAAACATGGATAATGTCTGAAATATTCTAATTAGGTTATAAATAGTATATTATTCATATTACATGTAAAGGGCTTCTGTAATGTAATACGTATTACAAGATACGTTATGTCCACAAAACGCCGTTACAACAGGTTTCGAAAAAGGAATCAGAAGCGTTTCCTATTACTTGTTATGGCGACCTGAGCACCGCGGAAACAATACTGTATAAGTAGTTTAGTAATATATCTTCCTACTTTTGTATTTAAATATGCAGGTCAAAGTTACGTAGTAACGTTGGCAAGCCTATTTGTTCGCGATAGCTTTGTCGTAGTGTTGAAATCCCAAGTGGTCTGCGAGCATGAAGATTGGTTTCGTGCTGTATCCTCCTCACAGTTTGATCCCTCACTAGCTCTCTAACATCGACACTAATTTGTAAAAATCGGTTTTGCCTCTTGTGGTAACCCAAATATTGTCAGTCACCTCGACTGTGTCCCGATAGCAGAACTACAACCTTGATAACACGCTGTGACTGGCGCCAATGGCATGAACGACATTACACTGGATTGCACCCGCTTTCAGCGTACCTATTCTTCTTTTGCTCTTAAAATATTATTATTTTCGCTAAAGTATATAGTACGCGAGCGTAATATGGTCATCCGGTTAATGTGGTCAGTTTTTTATAACTCGAAAACTACAGCCTTATTTACATAGAAGGATTATGTGATACGATAGCTTTTCATCAGTCAATCAAACAATAAAAAGTCAAAAGGACGCAGCTTTATCGGCGCCATTTTAACAGTTGTTATTATAATAAATATTTTAGTCGATTTTAGTATGGAGTTATGTAGTTGTTTGTAGTTATTTGCTATTTTTTATTAATATATTATTTATAGTATACGACTTTGTGTTTTTGTATCTATCCTCCTCTTAGTTTTTGTTTAACAGGGCGGGAAAGCTTATGGTGAGCATATTACTCTCGTGTACCATACTTTAGCGTTCCATGGCAGAGGAAACACCACAAATATTAAACTACTTGCTTACTTAATAAAATATTCGAAAATCAATTAAGTCTTTAATACACAGATGAAAAAATATCATATTAAAGGTACCTACCTAATTCAATTTTATCGCCTCCCTCAATCTTTTTTTAAATTTGATTTTAGAACACAGAAAAGGAATGTACCAAGATCAAATTGCTTTTTAAACCTTTTTTTTATATGATCCCTAGGCAGGATTGATGTGTTTTGCCCTATTTTACCACCATCATGTTCATGCCTGCTGTAAAATATACTTCACTTTGTGATCAGTAATCAGAAAATTTCGATGAAGCATACCCAAATTCTCCGATTCCTAAATTGAATATGATGATCATAATGCAAAAAAATATTTTTATATATGAGAATTCATAGGATATTGCGCCTCGTGAGTCGTAAGGAAGTGATTAATAAGCAGAAACAACTGATTTAAACTCAGGTTTTTGTTTTCTTTGCAATCCACCTACATATATAGCTGATCATGGTTTTAACTGTTTTTAGTTTTGAAGCAGACTCGTAACTAATTCCTACTATTAAAAAAATATAATTCAGTTGTTATTAATAAGAACTAGAGAACTAGAGATGACGTTCGGACATTTAAAGACAATCACAGTCAAATCAGAGTCAATAGAACGATCAATTGACAACATTAAAAAGACTCACATGCCGGCCGTGACCCAGATTGAGCAATCATTTGATAAATCTGCCATTTTGAAACTATACGTTCATGGCATAATTTTTAAATCTATAATGAATATAAACAGATTATAACATTAATTATTTAAATAGTTTGTTGCCATTTCGAGCAGAGAGTGCTAATTATTAGTTTTAACATTGACTTATATATTAGTAGAGTTTTAAGTGATAAACATAGGTTGACAGGTTGACACCCAAAACTGTTAGGTAAATTAATTTTTTATACGCACCTTTCCGCTAATATTTAATTACGCTATCTATATACTAAAACGTAAGTCGGTGGTTTTATAGGTTTGAATGACTTTGAATCAGCTTTAAACCTGGTGCAAAATATAGTTTTACTGCTAGGAAAACCGACGGTAAATAAGGAACATAAAATGAATATATTTTATCTGAAAAGATCAATGTTAAATTGTTAAGTGATTTGATAATACGTTATTTGATAATTAAGGTACCAATATGTACTTTTTATTAATTAGTACTTGACGGTGATGTTTTAAGTTACTATGTTTGACAAGCGACAAAAGAAGCAGATGTTGACATCATTTATTTCGTCATAGAGCTTATACAAGCAGCCAAGCAAATAATAAAATTATGTATCTATGATGTGAGTTTCAATACGTCCAGATGATCATTATTTAATTAGTTGTTTATACTATGCATAGAAGCAGGTAACAGTTATTAATCAACAAACAGTGTAAGCAAACGTAACGTAGTGATTGTATTAGAAAATCCATCACCTTATTATTTCGCGCGGATGTTGTAAGAGTTGACTATGGTAAAGGCTAGAAAAAGTTTTTGGCCTCTGATAGATAGTTGTTTACCATCTTGAATATGATTGCTGTAGAATAATCACATTGGCCACTGGGAAGGCGCAAGACATTCGGTGATCTGGTATCGTAAAAGACGGTTTGCTTTGCACTGAGCATAGCATAGCATTATTATTATCGATTACGGCGAATACAAAGCTTAACATGAGTCCCTCCCATTACTATGTATCACGTCAAACGTAATGTCTTTACGATCAACTAGTTTTTTATTATCTTATAGTTCCAAATACAAGTATTAGAACTTTCCAGAAGAAATTTTGTTAGTAAAATTTAATTTAAAAATGAGAATTATATGGAAATAGACTTGAGATTTTGAGAGCACAGAAGCAGGTAACATGTTAAAATAACTGTATTTAGCATGATCCATTGTTTATTCTTCAAAAGTTTTCGTTTTATTGAAAACGTTCGTGGCATCAAGTGATCAGATTATCTGGAGCGAATTCTGTATTCACATCACGTGGAGTCAACATTTGAGTAAAAACAAACTAGTATAGTGGGTTTCAAGTTTGGCTAATTGTGGATGTTTACGTTTCTGACATGTATCCCAGTTTATCTGTTATCTTATCATATATAAGCTCTACATCGAAAACGATTTAGTGCCTTTGTGTTTGTACACAAGTGACAGTACAATATCTGCTAGCAATATATCATCATTGTCATTATCATACTTTTAATAATACGGTCTTCTGACATTTTTGTAATGTTTAGTGTTTTCGTTTATTCATTTCTTTCGTGTTTTATATAAAACTGATGTGACAAAAAAAGCACTTACAGTCCATCTGATGGTAATTGGCTATTGCGTCCCATGTACCAGCAACCAAATATTGGCTATTGCGTCCAATGTACCAGCAACCAAATATTGACTATTGCGTCCAATGTACCGGCAACCAAATATTGGCTATTGCGTCCAATGTACCTGCAACCAAATATTGGCTATTGCGTCCAATGTACCAGCAACCAAATATTGGCTATTGCGTCCAATGTATCAGCAACCAAATATTGACTATTGCGTCCAATGTACTGACAACCAAATATTAGCTATTGCGTCCCTTGTATTGGCTTAAGGGTCCCATGTATTGGCTATTGCGTCCAATATACCAGCAACCAAATATTGGCTATTGCGTCCCTTGTATTGGCTAATGGGTCCCATGTATTGACTATTGCGTTCAATGTACCGACAACCAAATATTGGCTACTGCGTCCAATGTACCAGCAGCCAAATATTGGCTATTGCGTCCAATGTACCAGCAACTAAATATTGACTATAGCGTCCAATGTACCGGCAACCAAATATTGGCTATTGCGTCCCTTGTATTGGCTTATGGGTCTCATGTATTGACTATTGCGTCTAATGTACCGGCAACCAAATATTGGCTATTGCGTCCAATGTACCAGCAACCAAATATTGGCTATTGCGTCCAATGTACCAGCAACCAAATATTGACTATTGAGTCCAATGTATCGGCAACCAAATATTGGCTATTGCGTCCCTTGTATTGGCTTATGGGTCCCATGTATTGGCTATTGCGTCTAATGTACCAGCAACCAAACATTGGCTATTAAGTCCCATGTATTGGCTATTGCGTCCCATGTACACCAACCAGATTATTGTGTCCAATGTACCAGCAACCAAGCTTAAGCAAAGCAGGCTACTGATGCGTGGTCACATATGATTGGTAAGGCAATCTATCTTAGTGCTCGGGGCTGACAACACATGAATTTTGATTTTTAATCGAGGGTAGTCTATGGGACACAGCATCCATTTATCATCTGATCCACCACACTACAGTCCACTGTATGCTATTTACCACCAATATTTCTAAAAAAAAAGTCTTTAGAAAAGGTTTCGTACAGTGAACGCAAATTTATTTTCGTTCTTTGTTTCTTATAAAACTTTTAGGTATATGATTTTATTAAAAGAGACACACTAATGGTAACATAAAAAATAAAAAACTACGTAAATAGGTGTATCTTATTTACTTGTATGTATACATTATGGTAATAAATTTAATGTTACATAATTTTTCGGTCTGTGCTCAAAAGAATTGCAAATTGTAAATGACATAACTCTTGAGCCTTGTACAGTTATTGAATTTAGATAAGTTATCGCGTAATATGGGCGTTATGTATGCATAATCGCGTTTTTACAAGTCGATGACCTAGTACAGCGGGCGGCAGATCTACTTTGACCTACTTAAGCTTTCGTCAGATAGTGCAGTGCTCACATTGCGGAAAATAGGAAACGAGGGCACAGTGTACACACAGGAAATATTTAAATTAGCTTTATTGAAACATTTAGTTTTTTGTCTGAGCCATGTTTTTGTAAATAAATGACGAATTTTCGTATAGACTTGAACACTTGAGACTAGAACAACTAATTACGATTTTCCGTAAAAGGTTCCATTTAAGAATCGTCTTATTTGGTATGGTCAATATTGAAAAAAAAAAGAATAAAAATGTTTTATTTCAGTAAATCTTTTACAGTTAGTTTGCCGAGGCCTCCCAGAAAATAATCATAAGATACTTGTGTTGGGAGAGTCTCGCTCTTCCTACATAATCGTATCAACTTAGATTGAACTTTAAACTTGTTTTTTATTTGTAGTAGGTAACGTTAATTTTCCAACAAATGTAGAATAGGCCTATATAAACATATAATTTCATTTATAACTAGCTTTTACTCACGACTTCGTCTGCATAGAACTTAAACAAAAATCCTACAGATCTACAATAGTGTAATAGTATTTTTGGGCAAGTACTAGGCTGCACTAAAAGTATCGGGAATGGAATATTTCCACTGTTCCTGTCATATTAAAATCTTTTTAATTGAAAACTCCTTGGTTTTAAAAATCGAATACCATTTATTTATTTTAAAAAAGAATCTCGGTCTTGTCACAAGGTTTTGTCAAACTTCGTTGAGAAAATGGAATTGACTCGAGAAAATTCAAGAGCGATGATTTATTATGACTTTCGAAGTGGTTTAACACAAAGACAGTGTGTTGACCGGATGATTTCTGCATTTGGTGATAAAGCCCCATCCAAAACCACAATTTATCGCTGGTTTGCTGAATTTCAACGTGGACGTGTCAAGCTCAGTGATGATCCCCGTCAAGGTCGTCCAAAAACTGCAGTCACCCAAGAAAACGTTGATGCTGTGCGTAAGCTGATTAAGGAAGATCGACATGTGACATACCGCGAAATTCAGGAAACTAAACATTGGCATGAGTCAAATACAAATAATCTTGCATGAACAATTAGGTGTAAAAAAGTTGTTTTCCCGATGGATACCGCATTCGCTCTGTGAAGAGCAAAAAGCGGCTCGCGTTACTTGATGCGTCAGAACTCTCGAAAGGTTCCACGTAGGATCCTCAAATGCTGTATACAACATTGTATCCGGTGACGAATACTGGATATACGCATACGAACCCGAAACAAAAAACCAGTCACGAATTTGAATGTTCGAAAATGAGTTAAAGCCAACAAAAATTGTTCGTTCACGGAGTGCAAAAAAATGGTGGCCACATTTGTCTCCAAACCCGGCCATGTTACGACTATTCCTCTTGAGGGACAACGAACGGTTAATGCAGAATGGTATGCTAGCATTTGTTTGCCACAGGTCGTTTCTGAACTCCGTAAAGGGAGCTGCAACCGCCGCATCATCCTCCATCACGACAATGCGAGTTCTCACACCGCACACAGAACAAAAGAGTTTTTAGAGCAATAAAACATAGAATTATTAGACCATCCGCCGTACAGCCCCGACCTAAGCCCTAATGATTTCTATACTATCCCTAAAATAAAGAATAAATTGCGTGGACAGAGATTTTCATCAGCTGAAGAAGCTGTAAACGCCTACAAAACGGCCATTTTGGAGACCCCAACTTCCGAATGGAATGGTTACTTCAATGATTGGTTCCATCGTATGGAAAAATGTGTCAAATTTCGCGGAGAATACTTGAAAAGCAATAAATACATTTTTAAATAGTAATGTTGTGTCACTTCCTTGATTCCCGAAATTTTCAGTGCCGTAGTTTAAACATCTATTTTATTATTGATGATGTTGTACATAAAAAAAGTAAGAATAGAGAAAAATTGGGGATAAGATAATGTGTGTTCTTTTTTATGTAAATTGCAAACCAAAAAGTTGTTTGATTTTTTTTTATATATCTCTTACAGTATAAGACATAATTCTATCAAAAACATTTAATTTGTCAATATTTTGTTAGTTTTTTGATTTGTCAAAAATCTGCATATTTTTCGGATGAAATACCTATAGCTCATTGCTCTCGATCTGTTTGTGAAGTTTCGTTACAAATCAGATCAGCCGTACATTCCGCCCGGACAGACAGACGGACAGAATTTTATTCGTTTTTAAAATTTTATTCGTCTCATTAAACATGCGCATTGCGTATTATAGAAGCAAAAAGCATCGAAAGAAGTTATTTCGATGCTGCATTCAGACATTTCAATTTTATTTACAAAATTGTATCATAAACAAATTTGAAAAAAAAAAACTTTCTATTTATGTTTTGCACCTTATCTTTAATTTTTTAATATACCAATTATAGTAAAACGTCTTTTATGCCTTTTAATTTTAAATAATTGATTACTTACGTGTTATAGTTTACTGGCGATTAAATTAGTTGTGGTATAATTAAACACTACAATTTGACCTATTTTTCAATACAACGCCACGGTACGAGTACGAGCACGTCCGCGCGACACAAACTCTCTGCTCACTTTGCTGTGCTGTTTCGTTTACAAAAACTGCTTAGAAGATTGAAATCGCAAAGTTGAAAGTTGGACATTATTAAAATTTATTAAATGTCAAAACATTATATATTATGTTAATTATAATAATAACTATTTTGTAAATTAGCACCACAACTTTTTTTTAAAGTTTATTGTATTTTTTGTGTTGATTTGTGCGTTAAACAAATTAAAAACAAGTATTTGAAGGAAATGAGATTATAAGAACGGAAACATATAGGGGAATCTCGACAGACTCTTTCTTGCTTCAAAACAATCATGGAAATGAAAAAAGGCCTGTGCCCAACAGTGGGAGGTTAGGAGGTGTATAGAGAGAACTACCATACTCTTTCTGTGTAAAATAAAGAATTTAAAGTGGGTGGCTGACACGGTCGCGGTCGCCCTTAGCGATAAATACGCCACCCACATGTAAAGTAAATACGAGGTTATAGTTTCATACCAGAGAGTGATTTTTTTTTAAATTATCATAATATATTATGTAAAACGGCAATAATTAATATTTTATTTATTTGTAATTTGATGTTTATTTTTAAAATGTATAAAAAATATTTGGTTTTACAAAACTTTTAAAATAAAAATATGTATAATATTTATGCCGTGTAGTGTCAGTGTAAGAATATCCACTACTCCATATCGTCCAGTGGGTGCCGTAAGAGGCGACAGGGGGAAAGTGAAACAGGTGATGGACAGCATCGTCTTCCTGATAACATCTCAATTAAAAATTGCGTTTGACAAAACGCTCGCCTAAGGTGGCAACTATGGCATAATTCCCCTAGGAGGCAATCTTTGGGGGAGGCTTATGTTTAGCAGTGGATTTTTATAGGCTGTAATATATTTATTTTTTGGTCAATTGTTGAATGATAAATTTCGTAAATGGTCTTTTAAAATATAATTTATGTTAACGTTATCACTAAACCTAACAAAGATTTAGAACACTCGCCAGACTCACGAAACAAGTCGTTGACCTCAATCCTTTATTCCCCACGAAACCTACATTTTCTTTTGTTAGATATTGCGTAACCAGTAAGCACCTTCAGATATAATATGATAACTATTATTGACGAAATTACAGAAGAAAAAAGTTTATTTTAACGGGCATATGTTTTTTTTATTTGTTAGATATTTTAATTCTTATGCAAAATTTTTATAATCAAAAGTTATCTCATCCTTAGATGGATGTTAAAAGCGTCTGATTAATACTAATAAAATATTAGAAGGATAGTTACAAAATTTCCATAGCTACCTTTTTATTACTGCAACGGACTGCGTAATCTAATAAACTTGTCGAAATCGCTTCTTGAAAACAAACAGCTTGGGGAATATTTTTGAGCGGAATGTGGATAGCGGACGGAATGACGCGGACAGAACGACTGCTTTCTGCGCCTGTGAATCGTTGCCCGTGCAACTGCGCAGTTACCTCAACCTATTCAACTCTACACCATCTCTGCACCCAATATTAATTCAGCAGCAGCTCAGCTGCTTTTACTTTCAGTCAAAATGAAACTTCTGAAATTACACTCGTTTCCTAGGTTATTATTTGGTATGGAATTTATTTTACGCTTTTATTATTCATGTAATTTTGAATGTAATTACAAAAACAAGGAAGTCGGTTAGTTTGTTCCTTAGTTGTATTTGCACAAATAGTCATTTGTGCTTTCAACATTGTATAACGATCGCGCTAAAATTAACTGTATTTCTACATGTACCTACCTATTTGTGCTTTTCCTAAATGGCCCTTTCATTTGCTGTCAACTCCTTTTGTCCTTGGTGATAAAAGTGAGGGATACAACATTATAAACGCTTTTCCATAAAGTTAAATGCACTAATTTAAATTTCACGTTTCATTTAACTCTATAAGCTTTATTTTAATTTTTATTCTATAAAATGTACCTACAATTTATCACCTGAAATTAACCCTTATACAAAGCTCAATTTTCGTAAACTTTATAGCTTTATACTGTTGGCCAACATGTTCTATCTCTACATTATGTTAAAATTTTCCTAATTAAAATGGGCCCTACAATAAACTTCTAATCCGAATAAACTTCTCATCTTTGATAGGTAGCCACGCAGACGGCATAGTTCCGTTCCGTTCTGTTTGTATACAAGTAATAAATATTGCAAAAGTAATGAACCTTGTTGTCCATGATATGACGTAAGGTATTACGTAAGGCGGGACGTGATGAATTGAACTGGTGTTAGGAGCATGCGCGTTGTAATCTGAACTTGGGTACTAAAGGTCAATATCTAACGTATAACTATAGCTTACTGTGTTCATGGACTATTTCAGTTATAGATACTATTTCAGTGATAGATTCAGAAATCCCGTTCCGTTTATTTATAACTGAAGCGAAGCTGTGACATGTTGTTTACTGTTTCTACTATATTTCTTAAATTTTCACATTTTGACGAGTGTCCCATATACGTACTTAAAATTTAAATACTGTTTTCGGAAGAAAATGAAAAAAATTAAGATAATGCTTTATATAAAATCGTTACTATGACAATATGAATATCAAAGAAAACAATACAGCACAACGCAACGAATAGTTCAGAGAGAATCTAATTAATGTCACTAAAATTTCAGAAGGAAACATTAAACTCTACACTTTTCTAACAAGGTAACTTCCCCCGCTATGAAACCTGTTAAAAATTTCACCTCATTAATAAGTGGCAGCGCGCCCTCTGGTGGCAAAAAAAATTGTAGATAATTTACAATGCTGTGTTAGTCCCTATATTAATGTATGATAGTGAAAGTTGGGTGTGGCAGAAAAAGCACGATAGTAAAATAAATTGTATAGAAATTTTGTTTTTATATAATTTTATATAGAAAAATTTTTATACGTGGTACAACCATGCTGCAGTATATTAGTAATATAGTTGTAGCACGAATGAGTCGGCTCAACCGGGGAAGGACCACGCACTCATAGAATACCAGTGACATGGACTGTGTGCTCGTTTGTCACCCTACCCTATAATAATAATAATAATATAATATTCTAAGTGATTGGTCCGGGGTAGTTTCAAGCACATCAATAATAGCATTCAGTAAAAAGACCTATGTATTATTCAGATACCGATAGTATTAGCTCCAAAGAGAATATAATAAAACTATATACACACCGCACAATTATGGACAGACTATCCAGAATTTTTGATAGAGTCGGAAAGAGCAAACGAACGAGTTCTTTCCTGAATTAACCTGCATCCTATACAGTCTTGAAAAGGAAAAAAAAATAAGTCAATCAAATATACTTTGCACCTATACTTTAAATTCTTCAAGGCTATCAAATTAATCAGTCTGTTAAATTGTACACGGAGACTTAAATAAAACATCTCAGTATCTTGCTTGTAATTTATTTCGTGGTACATCTTTTGCAAAGTTACTCATCAAAATATACATATTTATTGAATGTTACTGCTTTACCTGTAAGAGTGCGTGGAGTCTCCTTAGATGTATACGGAGGCACCACTCATTACACTACTGGCAGCACTGGCAGCTCACACCATCTTTCTGAGTATAAACCAATAGCCAAATATCGGAGTCCCTTCAGTAAGTGTTATGATTTTGTGGTATTTTAATAACTTCTTGGTATAATTTACCAAATTCACTTCTTCTTATATTTCTGGTGGTTATTTATTTTGTTACCAGGGCATTATATAATAAACCTTACTATACTACAAATTTTAATAAATATACCCCGGATAAAGTAAAGATGTACAGTAAAATCCCTTGATTATTATGTCTGTTATTACATCAGGTGGGATAAGACTAACACAGTTTCCTAACAGATCCAAAAAAACGTTTTTCATGAAGAAATTATTTTCCCTACTTTTGAGATATAAATTATACTGATATAACGATGAAATAAACTTTTATATGTTTATAAAGATTTTTGCATAAGAGTTTTCAAAACGGTAATAATGAAGAAAATGTAAAACAGGAAACATTGTAAGTCTTCCCCGCCACTTGAGGTAAGATTAACAATAATGTTAAGCATGGTTACTCTCATTTTTATTGATATGGATAAGATTAAAGAGTTTATTGATAAGTTATTTGTGTAAATATAAACAAGAGTCAAGACTAACTAACATACAATCAAAATCAGGGGTACCAACATTTTTTCTTTTGTGTAATATGTAAAATATACAATGTAATTCAAATTCTGTATTGCTTCGGTCTTAAAATTAAGTTCTTTCTTTTAATTTTCCTCTCGGTGATAAGTCTAGTTTCTTGTGTACTTTAAGCAGACAGTATACGCCGCAGACCCCCACTTCACTTGCATTCGCAACGGATCTTAATTGGAAATGCGCAATGTTTGTAACTACTTATTACGCAATTAGTATAGTTATAAGAAGTCATCATAATATAGCTATCGGCGCGCCTGTGGTACCGGATGCAAAAAGAGCACCACCCTGTCTCTTCTCGATGGGTGTCGTAAAAGACAACTAAGGAATTGAATAAAATTACTTTTACAAATATTATCGCGTTTAATTTCCTTAATTTTAATACCCGATGTTTTGGATACTGAGGTGATTGACGTCCCGATGTCATAGTTAACCCAGAGTACCTTCAGCTTTTTAATTACATTTGGTCCGATCTACGCAGAATTAACGTACTGTGTCTAGAAGTCTTGTAGTGGTATGCTTGGGTTTAGTTTTAATTTTATTAGTTACAAGATCCCAAGTAGATGTTAGTACCCATCCTCCTTCTCCATTAAAACTGGGATGTTCTTTAATTTCAATAGCCTCACGTATCATCCTCGGCAGGAATCGATGTTCTTTCGCGAAGATTTGTAGTCTATCACATCTGATATAATGGGGAGTCAAGTATATGATCACAAACTGCAGACTTCCTGGAGCGTTGGTGTTTCACCTCAGCTATATGTTCTTTTACGCGGGATTTTATAGATCTTTTTGTTTGCCCTATATATGAGGGACCACATTCACAATCAAGCTTGTACACTCCTGCATCTTGTAGAGGAATATAACACTTGACGGATGGTAAGAACCGACTAATATTCTCCTGCGGCTTGTAGAATGTTCTAATAAAAGCTCGCTTGAAGATGTAGCCGATATTGTCCGTGATACCTCTGACATATTGTAGTACAGCGGGCACTCGCTCGACTGTAGTCGGTTTCACTTAGTCACTGTGACGTAGGCGCGCGACCCGAAGCTTGTTGTCGTGCAGAACTTGCTTGACGTGGTGAAGCTCGGCGGCCAGGTGTTTGCTGTCACAGATCCCTCGTGCTCAGGGTATTAAAATTAGGAAAATAAACGCAACAAAATCTGTAAATGTAGTTATTCAATGTGTAGTGTTCGCGTAAATATAAGAAATCATTAAGCAACTAAGGAAATTACCCGAGGGAAGGACTTCTTAGTATTAAACAAGTATACTGCGAAACGAAAGCATTTCCAAGGCGGATTAAAACCATTCAGGCGGCCATTCGTTAACTTAGCGAAAAACCATGAGCAACATGGACGTGGGATAGATTTTGTTAAAGATTATATAGCTGATAGGGGTAAATACTGAGATGATAGCTGTATGGAGGACAACGTGCTGCGCCTACCCCTAATTAATTGGGATGAGGGCAGGAGAATTATAAAAACGACGCATGAGATCTGATTGATTTCGTGCACACAGGTGAGAGTACGAAACGAATGAATACCCGTGGAGTCATAAGAGGTGAGAAAGGAAATAAGCCAGGAGATGCGCAGCAGTATCTTCACCATTTAAGCGTGCAACTGTGGCAAAATCCTCCACTATGAGCCAATCTACGAAGGAGGCTCATGTTCACCTGCGGACTTTTATAGGCTGTAATGACTAGATATAGATAATGGTAATGTATAATTACAATTACAACCTGGATTTAAATTAATTTTCATTTGTGTAGGTAATAATATACACTTATATTTAAGAGGTTTTCCTCCGTTCCTGCATTAATTCAGATCACACGCGTATGTATTGTAAATTCACACCTTTTGCGTTAATTAAGACAGAATGTTTACATAGTAGTTTGAAATCACTCTCTCATTCACTTTTGACTTGGGGAACGACTGACATATGTTCGTCTTGCCTCTGACAAAGTGATAGTCTTTCCCCAGCTTGTATTACTAGGGCTATGTTTTTGTTTCGTTAAATATTTAAGAAAACGTTTATGTTAAATTGATATAACTACTTAAAAGCCAATATTCGTAGGATACTATTTATTTAGAGCACTTCGATTTTTACTTAATTTTCACCAAAAAAATTAAATATCTCTTAACCCGGCAACTGATAAATTGTTTTCACTTCTAAGATTTTTTCGAGATGTTTATCGGCCATATTTACTTGCAATAGCAACATCATTGTTTCAACTGGGAACTTTTACGCATTGAACTGTTTTGCGGACTGAGGGAATATTG